TAAAAATAGGGGTTTTTTTTTTTACAAAGTAATGGTAGGTAAAATGAAAATTAAAGGAGTAATAGAGGATTTAAAAATTTAAAAAATGATAATAGTAAAAATATATCTAGGACTTTCTCTGGTGGTGTTGTGGACAGTGTGTGGTCAGTTTGAGAGGGTAACAGGCAGGAAGGCCAGGGGTCTCCAAACGGAGGAAAGAGGCTGCAAGTGCCAGACATTTTTATCTCTCTTAAGAGTCAGGAGGAAAAAAACCAGTGATATTTTTTCTTCTCTATACAAATTGAAAAGGAGGTTTCTCTTAAAATGCTGTGTTGCCATGATACCTGGTTTCACCTGAAGCTAACTACTCTCAAACCTTGAGTTAACCAATACATTTCTTTTTCTTATGGAAATGTTGTCTTAAGCTATGTTAATGTACCCCAGACTCTAGCTTCAAGTTGGTTCCGCCAAATGGTCCAACCTACTTACTCAGGTATTGTTCCCCTAATCTATGTAAATGAAACTATTTGCTGGTATTCTGCCCTTCTACAAGATTCAAGTATTATGGCCAGGGATGAATTATCTGGTGCCATTCTAAATTTTATGACATTCCTTTCTTTTCATTAACAGACTGTGAGTGACTGTATAACATACAGCTAAAGACAAGGAGGGGGGTACTCTTTTGCCCCCTTCTGATGCCTATGTCAGAAGCTTTCTCTATCTCCTTTATACTTTAATAAAACTTTATTACACAAAAGCTCTGAGCGATCCAGCCTCTTCTCTGGCCCCGGATTGAATTTGTCTCCTCCGGAGGCCAAGAATCCTGGAGTCTTATCATTCAGCAACAACCTTTCAAGTTCATTTTCAGACAGTTCCTTGATCTGGCTTACATTTCCTGAGATCTATAGGCCCCTTCCTATGTAGTCGGTGCTAACTGCAGGGTTTTAATCTATTGCACCTGTCACTTCCAAAGCGGGCCCCTCTGTTTATTTTAGCCTCTTCTGTCTGCTGGTCTCTTCACTGTCTAATTTCAGCCCTGACACAAGGGAGCGATGGTGGTCACTTTTTTAGGCTCACTTGTTCAGTCGTGCTGTGGGGAGGGAGGAACACTGCAAACAAATACCACTGGCATCTGTGGGGTGTGCTCGCAGTGTCTGGGCTGCACTGGGTTTGCCCCCGCTCACGGTGCATGTGCTTTCCCAGTTTACACTGCTCAGGCCCTAGGTTGCTCTGTCGGGAACTGTCTGAGGCGGGCCCTGGGTTGCATGCACTTCCCAGGCCTAAGCCGCTCAGGTTCAGGGTCTCAGGTACTCCACAAAGGCACAGATTTGGTTGGGCTTGCATTTTGTGCCCTTCCTAGGTCCGAGCAGCTCAGGTGACCAGGTTCTTGGTGCGCACAGTCTCCTCCCGTTGGGGGCTGTGTCTTCTCACCTCCCCTGTCCCAGCCGCTCGGTTTTCTGAGTGTACAACTGGTGAGCCTTCTCAGGTGTGCTGTGTGTCTCTTCTGGGGAGTTGATGATCTCTGGCTGTGACCCTCCAGGCAGATGTCAACCATCCAGAATTCCAAGAAGTCTTGGTTAGCAATGAAACCTGCTTCTCCCCTGAAAGTTGCCATTAGGCACATAATCTGTGGGTTTTAATTATTTCTTTATTCTTCCTCCTGGTTATGTTGCCCTCTGAGGTCCCGAGGCTCGCCACAGACCCACTGGTGAGAGTGTTCCCTGGAGTTTGGAAACTTCTCTTTTTGAAGACTCCCTTCATGAGACAGACCTCCATCCCTACCTCTTTTGTCTCTTTTTTAATCTTTATTATTTTTCCCTACATCCTTTTAAAGACAATGGGCTGCCTTTCTGGGTGCTTGATGTCCTCTGCCAGCATTCAGAAGTTGTTTTGTGGAGTTTGCTCAGTGTTCAAATGTTCTTTTGATGAATTTATGGGGGAGAAAGTGGTCTCCCTGTCCTATTCCTCCACCATCTTAGGACCGCTCCTGCTATTTTCTAACCTGGTAGAGATTAACCCATTGACTATGGCCACACTTGCCTAGTTCTTTTTTATTTTAAATTTATTTATTTATTTTAATTGGAGGCTAATTACTTTACAATATTGTAGTGGTTTTTGCCATACATTGGCATGTTAAATTCCACCATTATAAGAAAAGTACAGATTCCTTAAAAATTAGGGACTGTACTACACAATTTTCACCTTAAGAAAAGTTGCTTTGCAAGTTAAAATGAAGATGTGAATTGGTCAGCTTACCATTTTTATGTTAATGCCACTACCTACTATTCCAGGCTCCTTTGTAACTAGGTATAGACCTATGATCTAGTTCTGCTCAATAATAGCCAAATAAGAATTGTTCTAGAGAAGTCCTTGGAACTGTTTTCCAAAATAAAATGAAAGCCCCTCCCTTCTTACATGTGAGCATGTAATACTGGCAGCTGCTATAGACATCTTGAAGCCGTAAGGGGATAGCCAAGAGAACTGAGGGGGCACCAACCAGATCCTTGGGCATCATAGGAATAAAAAAACAATCCTGGGATCACTGACCTTCCAACTTCTTGTTGAGTAAGCAATAAATGTTACTGTGGCTTAAGCTAGGGGCTGGTAAACTTTTTCAGTAAAATGCTACACAGAAAATACAAAGGCTTTGCAAGCAAAATCTTGAATGTAGAGAACAAACTTATAGTTACTAAGAGACAATGAGAGGTGGGACAGATTGGGAGATTTGAGTTAACATATACACATAGCTCTATATGAAATAGACAACTTGTGAGAACTTACTGTTTAGCATGGGGAACCCTACTTGGTGATTTGTGGTGACCTAAGTGAGAAGGAAATCTAAAAATGAGGGCACACATGTATACATATGACTGATTCACTTTGCTGCACAGCATAAACTGACAACATTGCAAGGCAATTTACTCCAGTAAAATTAATTTACAAATAAATATAAGATTTTCATACATAAAAAAGAAAATATATAGGTTTGCAGACGACACAGTCTGTCATAACTTCTCAACCATACCACTCCAACACAAAAACTGCCATAGATGGAAAAAGAGTAAAATAATGGGGCATGACTGTAATCCAATGAAACTTATTTATGGGCAATAAAGCTTAAATTTCATTTGACTTTTATATGCCACAAAATATTATTCCACTTTAATTTTTTCAACCATTTCAAAATGTAAAAGCCTTTCTTGGCGCACAGATCGTACAAAAGCAGGCACAGGTTGCATTAAGCCATACACGACTGAGTTACTAACACACACATGTGTACATAGCTCAGTGCACAGATAACAGCTGTCTAGAAAGGAAAGGGTCTTGTAAAATTATTCAGATGAAGATATAAATGGTTGTATATATATGGCTGAGTCTCTTTGCTGTTCACCTGAAACTATCACAACGTTGTTAATCTGCTATACTCCTACAAAAAATTAAAAGTTTGAAAACAAAAAGATATGAATGGTTGCATGCCTGCTTAGTTATTGTCATGTCCGACTCTGCAACCCCATGAACTGTAAACTGCTGTGTTCCTCTGTCCATGGGATTATCCAGGCAAGAAAACAGGAGCAGGTTGCCGTTTCCTCTTCCAGGGAATTTTCCTGACCCAGGTATCAAACCCTCCTCTTCTCTGTCTCCTGCATTGGCAGGCAGATTCTTTACCACTGAGCCACCTGCGAAGCCCATGTGAATGATTAATCATAGCTTTATTATTTTTCACTTCCCACAGACCTTTCCATTCTAACAATGTCCTACTTCCATGAAACAAAGCTCATACTGTGGAATTTGAGGCATTGTATTCAGGTTAATGAAGGGGGGAAACTAAAATTAAGTATTTTTTAAGGAAATATACAGCTTTAAAAGGGTTGATATTTGAGAAGATACACTCCTAAAATTTCCTTTATATTTTTTCCATTTTGAAAACATCAGCGAGAAAAGGTTTCTGCTATGATAGAATTATATATACAGATGTCAAGAGCTGATAATATGATTCCTGCTAAGTGAACTTTGACAAACTTAACTGATCAAGACTATACCTACTAGTTTGAAAAGCCATCTATAACAGTATATGAAAGGATGAGAGAGATGTGCTGAAGGCAGATGCCACAGAGATCGGAGATATTTAAATAATATTTTCACTTACTAGAAAAGATGAAATAGTTATGTTCTTAGCGATGTTTTTTAAGTTTTTAACATTATTAATTTTTTTAATTTTTTATTTGGGTATAGGTGATTAACAAATCATGTTGTAATAATTTCCAGTAAACAGTGAAGGGACTCAGCCACACGTACACATGTATCCATTCTTCCCCAAATGTCCCTTCCATCCAGGCTGCCACATAACATTGAGCAGATTTCCATGTGTTATACAGTAAGACCTTGTTGATTATCCATTTTAAATATAGCAGTGGGTACATGCCCATCCCAAACTCCCTGTGCACGCTAAGTTGCTTCAGTTGTGTCTGACTCTTTGGGACACTATGGACACAGCCCACCAGGTTCCTCTATCCATCGGATTCTCCAGGCAAGAATATTGAAGTGGGTTGCCATTTCCTTCTCCCCCAAACTCCCTAACTATTCCTAAAATGAAATATTGATAGAAAAGCCTTCTAAGGATCCCACAAGAGTACATTGATAGAGGGAAAGAACAAGACATAAACTTTTTTTCTCCCAGTACCACAGCATGTTAACACTGAGAAGTAAATCAAATGAACCCAGGGTTCGCAGGTAGAAGGTGACAGAGTGGGAATTCAATCCAGGTGATCTCTCCTTAAAGTCTGTGTGCTGTATACTATAGAACATGAAAAAAAAAACAGCAATGCAGCTCAATTTTCAACTTTCCTCAAAATAGAGGGCTATGAAAGGTATCTGATTTATTGTATGGGATATAAATCCTTCACCTAAAATACAAAAAAAAACCTGAATAGGTGAACTTTTGCTCTGTTCCTCATAGTTCACTAAAATCAAACTTTTATTTAGTCACCATATGCATGCTTAGTTTTTTAAAGTTTTCATTGTTATTCTACCACTGAGTTAACTTTCTTGCCCCACAGCCTCTTCAAGGCGATTTTCACCTCTGCATTTCTGAGTGTGTAGATGATGGGGTTCAGCATGGGGGTGACCACCGTGTAGAACACTGCCACCAGTTCATCCCCAGTGAAGGTGGAGGGGGGCCGCATGTAGAGGAAGATGGCAGGTCCAAAGAACAAGATGAGCACCGTGGTGTGAGAGGCACAGGTGGAGAGGGCTTTGCGTCTTCCCTCCGCAGAAACGTTCCTCAAGTTGACCAGGATGAAAACATAGGAGTAAACCAAGATAAGGAGGGAAAATATAGACAATAATCCATTATTGGCCAGCACAATAACCCCTTCCACAGAGGTGTCAGTGCAGGCAAGCTTGAATAAGGGATGGAGGTCACAGAAGTAGTGGTCAATCACATTGGGGCCACAGAAGGGCAACTGGACAGTGACGAGGATCTGCACCATGGAGTGAATTATGCCCCCCAGCGAGGAACCAGCCACCAGTAGGTGGCACACAGTCCAACTCATGATGGTTGTGTAGTGAAGGGGCTTGCAGATGGCCATATAGTGGTCATAGGCCATTACCGTGATCAGGAAGGTCTCAACAACTCCAAACAATTGAAAGAAGAATATCTGAGCCACACAGCCCTCTAGGGAGATGATTTTAATCTTGGCAAGTAAGTCTGTGAGGAATTTAGGGACAACAGTGGAGGAGTAACTGATCTCCACCAGGGACAGGTGACTAAGGAAGAAGTACATGGGGGAATGCAGACTCTTACTGAAATTAACCATGAGAAATATGAGGCCATTGCCCACCACTGTAGCTAGATACACAGGGAGAAACACCACAAAGCATGCTCTCTGCACCTCTGTATCCTGGAAAAGACTGGTGATAACTAACTCAGTCACATTATTTGTACTCGCCATGGAATCCATTCAGGTATGCTGGATAAGACCTACTGAGAGAACTGCAATAAAAAAAAAAAAATACTGATTGTAATGAATTCATCATAGAAACATAGCATGTTAGACAGTGTAAACCACTATACAATACACACTTACCACAAGCTCTTTGTTTAGCCAATAGGTACCCATTCAGCATTAAATATTAAAAATCTATAATTTACATATTAGAAAATTAAAGCTCAGAGAAGTAGTTATTCAGGATCATAGACAAAATGGTGAAGTCTCAAGCTCAGGAGCAGGCTTACTGACTTTAGTCCAGGGTTCTTTCTAATTCATAAGATATTCTGATTTGGGTTCCATTCAAGTTAATAGTCTATATTTTCAGTAACATCATTACATCTTTGTCATAATATCTTTTTTTCTCTTTCCTATTTTCCTTTATTTTCAGTTTATTTTATATAATTGATAAAACTGTATCATTGTTTAAAGTGTACATGCTGGTGATTTCTTACACACATACACTGTGGAAGGATTTCCAACTTCTAATTATTAACATATTCAGCATCACATATATTTATATTTTTTCTTTTTTTTTTTTTTTTGAGAACACAAGTTCTACTCTCTTTTCAACTTTCAGTCATACAATACAATAATATAATAAATATATTAATATATACATATGTATATTATATATGTATATATAATTAAACTCTCACAAGAAAACAAATGGAAGAAGAAATTACCTGGTCATATCCAAATGGTATCCTACAGAATCCCAAATTGTAAAGGCCTTTATTTATTTTTTTATTTTTTATTATCATCAAATTGTATGTTATATATTTTTTACCACCATGTAAATAAATAAATAGAATTGATGCATCCCTCCTCAGAAAAAAAAAAATCAAACCCAACCTCCTTAATTAATAAATGAATACTTGTGGCTCAAAGATAGAAATTGCTTGCCCAGTGTCCTATGGCTGCTTAGAAACTCTGTGTCTTATTTCTAGTCACACCTCTACCTTTAGGACAGAAGATCTGCTGTGCTTCATTCTTCCTTGGAACAGGAACTCGGATCAGACAGAGCTCAAATGCACTCAATGCCTCCCATTCAGCATGAAGCTAGCCATTCTGCTAGATTTGATTGATCATTACTCAAGGAGGTGATCTGGTTTGCAGAAAATGAGATGAGATGGAGCACTGGACGCCTTTCTGGGAATTCCGGTCCTTGACAAGCAAGACGCTTTGACTAGTATTACCCACCCACATGATTTTTCAGTGAAGGCCTCCAGTGAGCAAAATCCAGTACAAAATAAGCCAAGCCACTCTGAGAATGATGTTGAAAAATAAATAATTATTTTGTTAAAAAAATAATTTAGAAGCTTTACTTTGAGCCCCTCAATTATATATTTTATGAAAGGGACTGAAAGATGTTAATTACATTACCAAAGGCACACAGTAATTTGATAGTACTAACTCAGAAATCATTCTTCTTTTAATGACGCTAGGATACCTTCTGATCAAAGGTACTGGTGGTAGTTTCTACTCGATTCTGTGATCAGTCCTTGTCCCCAATAACAAATCACCAAGATGTTTTTAGATGACAGAATAGACATCTAAGACAAACCACTAGAAAACATAAAATGAAAATTCAGAAGATCTGGATCTGGTTGGATATTTGGATTTGTAATATCTGAGAAATGACATCCCAAGAAGAAGCAGCACCAGATATTTTTAAAAGCCTGGTTTTCATTGTAGAAAACCTACCACCTATCCACCCACTAAAAGTCCAAATGTTGTGATTAACTGATTTGATCCTTGAACTATTTAAAATAAATTAATCCACACATACAATCAAGGGAACAATTTCCCCATGGAATTTCCTTTCTCTAGGGTGAAATTTGCCAAATAAACTATGAATTGGGGAAAGTTCCAAAATTAGTTTCAATTAGTTGAGAGAGATATTTCCATAAAGTTTTTGCACCTAATAATGAGGTTCAATTCAGTTCAGTCACTCAGTCATGTCTGACTCTTTGTGACCCCATGAACTGCAGCATGCTAGGCTTCCCTGTCCTTCAATATCTCCCGGAGCTTGCTCAAACTCATGTCCATCGGGTCGGCAATGCCATCCAAACTTCTCATACTCTGTCATACCCTTTCCTCCTGCCTTCAATCTTTCCAGCATCAGGGTCTATTCCTGTGGGCTAGTTCTTTACATCAGGTGGGCAAAGTATTGTGTCCATAGTAATGAGATAGTAAAGAAGAAACTTGAAGGTAAGAAGAAAAGGAACTTTTTTCAGACGAGACTACTGAGAAAGAAAAGGAGGGGGGAAAAGAGAGAGAGTGAGAACTGGACAGGAAGCCAGGACACCTGGGCACTAGCTCTCATTTAATAACTGGTTAACTATCTAACTTAAGCCATATCATTTCACCTCTCCAATTTTTTTCCTCACATTTCCACTTCTATATGATATTACCAAGTTGGGTTAGACAACTTCCAGTGTATATTCTAACATTCATGGATTCATGTATAATTCACTTAGTCTCTGCATGCCTCAGCCTCTCCATCAAAAATCATAGTGGCAATACTAATAACTCAATATAATAAGAATTTTCTTAGAGGTGCCATCAAACTGTTGACTGAAAAAGAAAACACAAAACATTAGATCTGTGAGTTTCAGTTTTATTGGAGGGCTTACTGTCAGGAAGACAGCTGTTCAGATGTCTCTGAGGAACTGCTCCAAAGAGGTGGGGAGAGGGGAGTCAGTACATTTGTGACTTTGGAGAAGAGGTATATCTGATCAAGCACATATCTCAGTAGAAGGCTACTGTTATTCATGAGGCACAGATAACTTAGTTAATGATTTTAGCACTTTTCTAAGCATTGGAAGCTTCAACAAATTAGATTCATAATTTTTTTTTCTCTTGAAAATATCTAACTATCTGAAGTCTTATTCTATGAGTTTTCTCAGAGCACAGGTGCCTCATTCCTTATCTCTGACCTGAACTCCTTTCAGCAGATGTTGAACATCAGCAAGTGCAGTGGCTAAGGACTCAATCCTTATAGAACTAGATGGTGAGCAATATTCTTTAAATGGTACATCCATCCATTCATTCACAGGTCCATTCAACAAATTGGATTGAATCCTATTATGTGCCAAGCACTGTTCTAGGTGCTGAGTTTTTGGCCGAGAGCAGACAATCCTTAGATGCATGGAAGTTGCATCCTTCATAATGACACCAGGATCTAATGGAGATGGAGACAAACAGGAAACAAATAAAACTAAGTATGCAAGTCAGATAGTAGGTCCTATGAAGAAAAATAAAACAGGTTAATGAGGATAGTGGATGCTGCAGAGCGTTAGTTTTATTTTTTATATATTGGTAAGGAAAGACCATCTCAAGCCAAGATCTGTGTGCTGTCTTGAGATCAAGGAAATGAGAGAAGAAAATAGTAGAGGTAAATATAAGGAAACCAGTTAGATGACCATCACCATAATCTGGTCAAGAGATGATTGTGACTTTGGCCAGAATGGTAGCAATGAAGATTTTAGAAACTTACCAGTCTGGATATTTTGAAAGTAGAGTTTAGAAGATTTGGCAATGTTTTGACTGAGAGGAGAGAGAGGAAAGAATTAAGGAACCTCCAAACAGACTTAAGTATCAGAACAGAGTTGCCACTTACTGAGGCTGGAATGACTGAAGAAGAGGGAGGGAGCAGGCAAAACTGGGAGCTCAGTTTTGGACATGTTAAATGAAGTTGTCTTTTGAAATTCCCAGTAGAGATGTCGATTAGATAATTGCATATATAAATCAAATCTCAGGGAAAATGTCCATTTGGGAGCTTTAAATCTTAGAGCCATAAACACCTGAAAAATATTAAAGCAATGAGACTCAACAGGATCTCCTTAGAGACCAACAGGAAGCAGTTTGAGAACCAAGCATGCTGATGCTTAGAAGTTGAAGAAATGAGAAGAAGCCAGTAAAGGGAACTGTGGAGTAGCCAGTGTGCTAGGAAAGGAACCAACAGAGAATGGTGTCATGCAAATGAAGATATCTATTATTTCAAGGAGAGAATGGTCAACTGTGTCTCATGTTTTTAAAAGTCCATTCTTAGAAGTAGCTCATTAAGGGGCAGGAAAAGGCACAAGCACAGTTCATTCCTGAAGCACATGGTTGGTGGGATGCCCCATCCCTCCAGTCATCCAGGCACTTCTCTGCCGGTATGGGGCGCGGAGCAGCCACGTGAGGATGAGCTAAAAGAGCTGGATAGTGAGAGTCGAGATTAAAGTAGTCAGCCACAGAACCATCACGGGACTATTCAGTTCAGTTCAGTCACTCAGTCACGTCTGACTCTTTGTGACTCCATGGACTGCAGCATGCCAGGCTTCCCTGTCCATCACCCACTCTTAGAACTTGCTCAAACTCATGTCGATTGAGTCAGTGATGCCATCCAACCATCTCATCCTCTGTCGCCCCATTCTCCTCTGCCTCCAGTCTTTCCCAGCATCAGGATCTTTCCAATGTGTCAGTTCTTGACATCAGGTGGCCAAAGTATTGGAGCTTCAACTTCAGCATCAGTCCTTCCAATGAATATTCAGGACTAATTTCCTTTACAATTGACTGGTTTGATCTCCTTGCAGTTATGTACTCATGGTACTTTACTGGGTAATGGGAGCAATCTCACCCCTGACCTGCAGTAATAATGATGATTTTGTAGCACAAGTAAATAATAAAGTGCTATGGATCCATGATATCCAATTTGGTTGCAAAGAGCCACTTAAGGCTATACATTGCTGTTGTCTTTCAGTCACAAAGTCATGTCTGACTCTTTGAGACCCCATGAACTGCAGCATGCCAAGCTCCCCTGTCCTCCACCATCTCCCAGAGTATGCTCAAATTCATGTCCATTGAGTTGATTATGCTGTCTAACCATCTCATCCTCTGCTGCTCCCTTCTCTTTTGTCTCAGTCTTTCAAGCATCAGGGTCTTTTTCAATGGGTCAGCTCTTCGCATCAGGTGGCCAAAGTATTGGAGCTTCAGCATCAGTCTTTCCAATGAATATTCATGGTATATAAATGTAATTAAAATTAAATAATAGTAAAAACTCAGTTTTTCCGCCTCCGAGGCCTATTTTCATATGCTAATTAGCCACATGGCTGGGGCCACTATGCACTAACACAGATACAGAAGATCTCCTTCACTAAGAGTTCTCAACAGCTTCAGAAAACAAAATGCTTTCTTAGAATATAACTCCATGTAGGCAAGGACCTTCTCTGTCCTGTGTACCGCTATACAGCCTGAGCCCTTAGAGCAATCCCTGGCACATAACATATGCTCAGGAAGTCTTGCCAAATCAACTAGCAAATAAATGCCTTGAAATGGCTGAACAATTATGTAAATCATGCCACTACTAGACTCTGTGATAGTGTCAAGGCATTACAAATCATGTTTAAGAAAAATATTAACTGCATTTGGAATTATCCAGAGAATATGTGCCAATCCTTACATCCATTAAACCCTTCTTATTTAAAAACAGAAAAGAACCCTGAATTTTAATTAACAGCAATTTCACACAAATTATATATATATATATGTGTGTGTGTGTGTGTGTGTGTGTGTGTGTATAGTTTCCAGCCCTCCTTGTAATTAAAGGTGGCCAATGACTAATTTCCATCAAACGAGATGAAAGCAAAAGTGCTGCATGACAGTTTTAGAAAAACTCCTGAAATGTTGAGTAACTTCATAAAGAATCTCTCTGCAATGCAGGAGGCGTGAATGTGATCCCTGGGTCAAGAAGAACTCTTGGAGAAGGAAATGGCAACCCACTCCAGTAGTGTTGCCTGGGAAATCCTATGACAGAGGAGACTGGTGGGCTACAGTCTGTGGAGTCGCAAAGAGTCAGACATTACTTAGCAACTAAACCACCACCACCACCTAAGAGGGAAAGAGGTGAGTTTATCTTTGCCCTTTTCTTTTTGTCTGCCTCCTGGAGTATAAATGAAATGCTAGAGCTGTGCTGCTCAATATGGCATCCAAAAACCATGAGTAACTTGTTAAGTTTAAGTGTATTAAAATTAAATAAAATTTAAAATTACTGATTTCCTTAAACACAGGGTAAATTTTCTATGACCACTACCATATTGGACAACACCAATAGAGATACTCCCCAGCCTGGAATTATGTATTACTAGATGGTGTGGGACAGAGAACTAGGGGGCCTCTGAGGTAATAAGACTGGAGCTGAATATGGAAACTCTAGAGGTGATCAGTTCAGTTCAGTCACTCAGTTGTGTCCAGCTCTTTGCAACCCCATGGACTGCAGCACACCAGACTTCTTTGTCCATCACCAACTCCTGGAGCTTGCTCAAACTCATGTCCATCAAGTCAGTGATCACATCCAACCATCTCATTCTCTGTCATCCCCTTCTCCTCCTGCCTTCAACCTTTCTCAGCATCATGGTCTTTTCCAACGTGCCAGTTCTTCTCATCAGGTGGCCAAAGTATTGGGGCCTCAGCTTCAGCATCAGTCCTTCCACTGACTATTCAGGACTGCTTTCCTTTAGGATTGATATGTTGGATCTCCTTGCTGTCCAAGGGACTCTCAAGAGTCGTCTCCAACTCCACAGTTCAAAAGCATCAATTCTTCAGTGCTCAACTTTCTTTATAGTCCAATTCTCACATCCATACATGACTGCTGGGAAAACCATAGCTTTGACGGATCTCTGCTGGCAAAGCAATGTCTCTGGTTTTTAATATGCTGTCTAGGTTGGTCAAGGCTTTTCTTCCAAGGATCAAGTGTCTTTTTATTTCATGGCTGCAGTCACCATCTGCAGTAATTTTGGAGCCCAAGAAAATAAAGTCTGTCACTGTTTCCATTGTTTCCCCATCTATTTGCCATGAAGTGATGGGATGCCATGATCTTTTTTTTTGAATGTTGAGTTTTAAGCCAGCTTTTTCACTCTCCTCTTTCACTTTCATCAAGAAGCTATTTAGTTCCTCTTCACTTTCTGCCATAAAGGTGGTGTCATCTGCATATCTGAGGTTATTGAAATTTATCCCAGCAATCTTCATTCCAGCTTATGCCTCATCCAGTCTGGCATTTTGCATGATGTACTCTGCATAGAAGTTAAATAACTAGGGTGACAATATGCAGCTTTGACATACTCCTTCCCCACTTTGGAACCAGTCCCTTGATCCATGTACAGTTCTAACTGTTGTTTCTTGACCTGCATACAGATTTCTCAGGAGGCAGGTCAGGTGGTCTGGTATTCCTATCTCTTTCAGAATTTTCCACAGTTTGTTGTGGCCCACACAGTCAAAGGCTTTCCCCTCCAGCTTATTTAGTTGCACCTCCAAAATAGTTCTACCTTTGCTATTTGCAAAGAACTGGCCCAGAATTACGGTTATATGGATACGTATGAAAATAAGACTCAGTCCTTGCACTTAAGGACTCCAGTGATGGTTTCTTTCCTGCTCACAACTCCCTGACAGTAACATCACAGGGCCCCCTCTTTTACTTTTCCAAGTAAAATTAAAGTAGGGTGCACTCTTGGGAAAACAGTGGCATAAGGAAAACAGTTCTTGCACTTAACTCTAGCTTCCACGCCAAAGACACTGTGTCACAGAGTTTCAATCACTAGTCTGACAATACGCAGTCACTGTTGAGTGTGGGGTTTCAGCCAGTCAGTCAGTCTGGCACCAGAGTCACATTCCTTAACTACCTCACTATGCCTAGGTATACCAGCCTCCAAGATATCGCCTTTGTCAAAACTCCTGTGAGGAGCTCCTTCCTTAAGGACAGAGCTCTGGTTGTGTTCAAGCACCAGTGTACCCAACCCAAGGGAAACACACTGTCTGGTATAAGTTAATTGTATCACCTCATTTCCCTTTGGCACTACTCACTCTCCCAGCCTCCTTTGCATCTAGGTAGAGACACATGACTCCATCCTGAGTCAGTGAAAAAATAAAAAGAATTCCCTTTGAAAGTTTCAGGGGAATATTTCCCAAAATAAAAAGAGAGCCTCTCCTTTCCCACATAAAAATATAATACCTATAACTATTATTGACATTATAGGCAATAAGGGGACACCAAGAGAATTAAAGAGTCACCAACCAAGTGCCTTAGCATCACAGAACAAACATTAACCTCTAATTTGCTTATTTAGAAACCAGCCAACATTATTAAAGCTTAAGGTAGGGATTGGAAAACTCTGTCAGGGTTACTTATGAAATAGTTAAACTTTGCAAACTATATAGTCTGTCACAATTTTTCAATTTTGCCACTGTGGCACAGAAGTAACCAGATATAACACATATAATAATGGACATGGGAGACAGTCAAATATACTTTTATTTATGGACACTAGATTTGAATTTCCTATGACTTTCATGTATCACAAATTGCTGTTATACTTTTTTTTCCAGTCATTTAAACATGTGTAAATCATTCTTAACTCACAGCCTGTACATAAACAGACAACAGGCTAGATTCAGCTATGTCATATCTCAGTGCCCAGAAAACATATATAGAAGGGAGACATCATGCAAAATTATTCAGATTACTACACTAATGGCTAATATTAGCTTACTGTATTTCACCTCCTAAAGGATTTTCCACTCTAACCATGCCCCCTAACCCCATAAAATAAAGCTCCTACTACAGAACTTCAGATTTGTAACCATATTAAAGCTGTTAGGGAACCAAATGAAGTAGGAAGGACTTTCTAGGACTCCCACAAGATAACGGTAATAGGAATGAAAAAAGAAAAACATAATATTGTCTCCAAGTGCCACAGTCTTTCTGCATACCACAGCATGAAAGTGAACAAACCACAGGTGGCCAATGTAGAAGATAATAGGTAGAAATTCCAGTCAGGTTATTCTTTCCCTAAGTCTATTCACTTTGCATGATAGACTGCTGAAACAAGAGGAGGAAGAAAGCTTAAATTTTAACATTTTCCAAAATACAGACAGCTACATATGCATTTATGGCTGTGATTGATCCCATGGAACATAAGGAGCTCATCTAAAATACAACAGAAAATAAAAATGTTAAATTTGCTTTGTTCCTTATAGTTGACCAAAATCAGGATGCATATTTTGTCAACTCATTCTTACTAATTTTTTTCAGGTCTTTATTTTGATCCCACCCCTGAGTGCACTTTCCTGCCCCCCGACCCCAACCTCTTCAAGGCGATTTTCACCTCTGCATTTCTGAGTGTATAGATGATGGGGTTCAGCGTGGGGGTGACCACCGTGTAGAACACAGCCACCAGTTTGTCCCCAGTGAAGGTGGAGGGGGGCCGCATGTAGAGGAAGATGGCAGGTCCAAAGAACAAGATGAGCACCGTGGTGTGAGAGGCACAGGTGGAGAGGGCTTTGCGTCTTCCCTCCGCAGAAACGTTCCTCAAGTTGACCAGGATGAAAACATAGGAGTAAACCAAGATAAGGAGGGAAAATATAGACAATAACCCACTTTTGGCCAGCACAATAACCCCCTCCACAGAGGTGTCAGTGCAGGCAAGCTTGAATAAGGGATGGAGGTCACAGAAGTAGTGGTCAATCACATTGGGGCCACAGAAGGGCAACTGGACAGTGACGAGGATCTGCACCATGGAGTGAATTATGCCCCCCAGCGAGAAACCAGCCACCAGTAGGTGGCACACAGTCCAACTCATGATGGTTGTGTAGTGAAGGGGTTTACAGATGGCCATATAGTGGTCATAGGCCATTACCGTGAGCAGGAAGGTCTCAGCAACTCCAAACAAGTGAAAGAAGAATATCTGAGCCACACAGCCCTCCATGGAGATGGTTTTAATCTTGGCAAGCAAGTCTGTGAGGAATTTAGGGACAATAGTAGAGGAGTAACTGGTTTCCACCAGGGACAGGTAACTAAGGAAGAAGTACATGGGGGAATGCAGGCTCTTACTGACTTTGACTGTCAGAAATGTGAGGCCATTGCCCACCATCGTGGCCAAGCACATGGGAAGAAACACCACAAAGCATGCTCTTTGCACTTTTTGGTCCCACAAAAGACTGGTAATGACTAACTCTGTCACATTATTTGTACTCGCCTGGAATCCGTTTAGGTGTGCTGGATAAGAGCTACTGAAGCACCCTGTGATAAAAGGAACACTGAAGAATTCATTTGAATCAGTTCTAATGAGATGGATGAAACTGGAGCCCATTATACAGAGTGAAGTAAGTCAGAAAGATAAAGACCAATACAGTATACTAACACATATAAATGGAATTTAGAAAGATGGTAACGATAACCCTATATGCAAAACAGAAAAAGACACAGATGTACAGAACAGACTTTTGGACTCTGTGGGAGAAGGTGAGGGTGGGATGTTTCAAGAGAACAGCATCAAAACATGTATATTATCAAGGGTGAAATAGATCACCAGCCCAGGTTGGATGCATGAGACAAGTGCTCGGGGCTGGTGCACTGGAAAGACCCAGAGGGACGGGGTGGGGAGGGAGGTGGGAGGGGGGCATTGGGATGGGGAATACATGTAAATCCATGGCTGATTCATGTCAATGTATGGCAAAAACCACTACAATATTGTAAAGTAATTAGCCTCCAACTAATAAAAATAAATGGGGGAAAATTAAAAAAATAAAATAAAAGGAACACTGATAATAATGAATTATTTCTATACATAGCATGTTGGGCAGTGCAAACAACGTTATAATACACTTATTATGATATCATTCATTTAGCCAGTATGAACTTATTCAGCATTAAATGTGACCAATCTAACAACAGCTTATATATCAGAAAATTAAGGCTCAGAGATTTTGTTGTTTACCCATGATCACACAGAAAGTAGTGAATTCTGGGAGTCAGAACCAGACTTTCTGACTTTAGCCACAATTCATTTTAGTCCATTATAAGATATTCTGAATTTAGGGAATAATTTAAGTTCGGAGCTTATAGTTTTATTATCCTTGTTGCAGTTTTTAATGTTCTTCACTTCATTGCATTATGAGTGCTCTCTCCTATTGGGGGATTTTCATGAGACATTTCTATTCCTAACTTCCTTTTTTTCCTTGTCTCTGCCTCAGAAAATCAACTTCTCACTGATATTTCTGCCCTTTTCCAAAATATCTTCTGTCCTGATTTCCTATGTCCTTTCTACCAGTCCTCAAACTATTCAGCTCACATTCCTTCACCAGTCTTGCAGCTTCAATAACTATGTTCCTATGACAAACGCTCAAACACATTGGAGGTAACTCAATTCACTACCTTGTCACCATCATTATCCTATTACTTTCAAAACACTTGCCCCTCTGCTAAAACTACTGACAAATCAAAAACTCACAGAGCTTGTCCTTAGTATTGTTATGGGTGGCCAGTCTGCTTGTTCTTTTTCCAGGTTGGCAGCCAGCAGCAAAGTATATAGCAAGAGTGAGATTTCTCTATGACTTACATCCCTGGAACATACTTACTGACACGCCTTACACATCTATACAACTCCAGAGTAGAGAGAAAAAAATATAGATCATGATACCACCTCAAGCTAAAAATGTCATGTAATTAAAAAAATAAAAATATCCTCCAGATTAAGGTAAACAACTTGGACTTTTTTCACCACATGTAGTCCATGAGAAATAAGTATGAAATAGTATTAATACTTTGAATTTATGAGTTTGATCCAATTACCTTTCCCCTTATCTCCAGGAGTTGGTGATGGACAGGAAGGGCTGGTGTGCTGCAGTCCATGGGTTTGCAAAGAGTCGGACATGACTGAGTGACTATACCGAATTGAGTTATCTCTGATTTTATACTAAAACTTTAAAATATATAGATAGCTTTGGACATGATACAAATGAACTTATTTACAAAACAGAAAAAGAAATGAAAACAGGGGAAAAAAAGAATAAAAGATGGAAATGCTTCAACCCCAAGGATGCAAGTGATCATGGAAATGTTTCCATTCATCGTGATTCCAAACTTTTCCCATAATGGACTGTTTCTTAGGCTGCCATGTTAGGTTTGAACAACTTTTCCATTTCCTGAGGTGTACTCATTTAGATAGCAATTCAATACTGTTGTGTCTACTCTAGTGTTGGGGTGTGGGGAATATTATTTTTGTAAAGGGTTTAGGAAAATATTGTTCTGTTGCCTCAACAACTTAGGGACCATGCCCCTAAACAGCAGGAAGTAGTTATGGAACAAAAATGACACCCCTTTCCCTTGGCAACATCATTCTCCTAAAAGAAAAGGGGGGGATGAGAGAGTCAATTCCTAGGCAGGTTGATAAGAAGCCTGGGGATCCCCAAGGAGAGAGAGGTCTGGAATTCTCAAGGAGGAGGAAAGGGGAAACTTTTTTTCCTCTACATTCCTTTGGATTATATAACAATAATGTGTCCTGCTTGAGGACAGTTTCTGGCCTTCTGACTAATCCTGTTATCTTAAAATGTAAATTATGGGAGTGGGTCTAGTAAGGTCTTTACAACCTCCAGACATTCTTTTGATCCACTGTAATAAATAATTAAAAAGTATATAATTTCACTGCTAACACTAGCAAGGGAGTACTGTTTCTGCCCCCTTCTGATGTCAGAAGCTTTCTCTATCCCTTTTACACTTTAATAAAACTCTATTATGCAAAAGCTCTGAGCAATCAAGCCTCGTCTCTGGCCCTGTATTGAATTCTTCTCTTCTGGTGGCCAAGAATCCTGGCGTCTTTCATGGTTCAGCAACAACCTTTCATCTTGGTGGCTAGTCTGAGATTCTTCAGGACAAGGTAAGAATGCTTGGAGCTCTAGTTCTTTGTTCTCCCAGCAAACACGTTTTCTGCTGTACTTTACCAACTCTACAGTGTGCTTATGTGAGTGAATGACACGCTCTGCATGAAGGAAGTGAGGAGCCCTGCTCTGCGGTTCCATGGTGACCTCACACGGCTTATGGAAGAAACCTGCAGGAGGTTTATACTGACCTGCCAATGCCAAGAGGCACCCAATGTCTCCTTTGGGGACCAACCAGCAATGGGCAAAGCATGTGGACCAAACTCTCCTTTCTCAGTCAAAATTTCTGGTCTCTTTGACCATTTCATAACTTCTTGGGAATTAGAACTACTAACCTATCTATCGGATCATAGACTTTCAAGGGATTTGTGATCTATGCTGTTACTGTGTATTGTGACTTAGGTCCCAAACTTGGATTGGCAATAAGGAAGCACCTAGCCTCGCTAGGAATCAAAAGTTTGGAAGCCAGATGGAGGTCTAGTTCCAAGAGCATCTCTGAGGTTAAAGGTTACTCAGATTGGAAGTACACTGTTTCTTCCTTTGGTAATGCTAGCTCTTGGTGGACCAGAAGAGGCTTTCCGTGGCTTTTGTCCCAACTCCTTAGATATTCTTTCTGTGGAATCTGTGGGAATGAATTGGAAGGACTGTTCCTAACAACTCAAGGACAAAAATCACTTTTTCCTCACTGACCAGCCCTTCAACATCTCTTTTGCTATCACTTATACTGGTGTGGTGATGCTTGGAAGGGACATCTCAGTACCAGTTCGTACTAGTCTTATTGTGGTCAGGAATATACTCAGGGTCATGCACAGGCACTCAGGTGACAAATGCTTCCCCCAGCCGTCTTAACTTGGGAGGCATTCCGGAAAATTACTCTGATTGCACTCCGGGTGTCATCAGAGGCAAGAAAGGTTTTAATGGTGAAGAACTGGACATCAGTCTGGGAGGCCATCTGGTCTACCCCAGTGCATCTCCACCTCATCTCGGTGGTAGAACAGGGCGGGGCTAGTACGGAGCCTGTGTCGGTAAGGGGCAGACTAAGTCTGACCAGGAAAGGAAAACTTCAGTGTAAAATCTGTCTACACCCCGATCTAGAGCAGGGAAGGATGCCTCCAGTAGAAAGATGGCACTGGTCACTTTTTTTCTCGGTTACAGATAGGAGCGAACAATTCCAGCTTCACTACTTTGAACTGTATCCTGAAAAACTGGGATAGATTTGATCCCCAGAGCTTAGAGAAGGCACTCCTGATCTTCTTCTGTGATACTGAATGGCCACAGTATCCTTTAGAAGATGAGGAATGCTGACTTGCTGAAGAATCTCAATTATTACTGTTTTACAATTAGGCCGGTTCTGTAGAAAACAAGGGAAATGGGTAGAAGTAGCATATGTGTTGCCCTTTTTCTCTCTGCGAGGTATGCCAGACTTATGTCCTAACAGTATAGATTTGGGTGTGAAACCTTCAGCTCCCTCCTGTCCTCCTACTTTGGCCCCGTACCCAGGGCTCCAAGCTGAGCAAACTGAAAGTCAGTAAACTCCCATAGGAAGAGTTGCCTTCATCTCAGTAAAGATCCAAACTGAGATTCAAACTGCCCAAGTAGAGGTCCAAACAACCCCTGTCTCAGTAGGACATCAGACTACTCTGGCTTCAATAGAAACTCAGACAATCGAAGTAAGAGAAGCTCAGACAGTAAAAACTACGGGTGAAATAAAGAATGAGATTGAAGACACGAAACAACGAGACAAAGAAAAGCAGCTTTCTCCAATCTACCCCTGGGATTATATGCACAAAGCAGCCAGAAAGGCTGAGGAACAGCCACACAAGCTGTTTCTGCCTCTTCATGAAGAAGCCACCAGGAGAAATAAACAGCCTATGAAAGTTAATAAGCCCTTTTCTCATCAAGAAATACAAAGAATCAAGGAGGATATGTGAGCCTATTTATAGGACCCAGAAAAATATATTAGAGCTTTTAAAGGTGT